ATGGCAGAAACAATGGGCACAGTTTCTTTCACCCTGATGTCCCCCGTTACCTAGCAGTAAATAGATACTTGGGACTATCTAATGCAGTTATTAGAAACATACAAATTAAAGAAATTAATTCAGATTTAGAAGAACTAAGAAATGCACAGAGACCTGAAAGCTGCAGTATTAAAAGTTATGACAAGTTCTGTAATAATAGGTATTTGTATGGTCAGCACAGTAACCGGACCAGGCAATGTGATGTAGTAATTGCGCGAATTCGCCTTGGCTATAGACACATCTGGCAGGTTAGTGAGGCTGAGCCACTACCAGAATATTCAGATTGTAAACTCTGTGATAAACCTTTAATGCATTCACTAGAACACTATATTGATGAATGTGAAACCGTAAAGGACTTTAGACCTCCTGGCCTATTGTACCACCAACTGTGTAACTATTTTATTGACTCAGGTGTTCTGGACGACATCCTAACAATTTACCCAAAATTTGCTTGTCCATTTTAAAGAATGAAGAACAATTTCTACTTATATTCTAAGCTGTATCACTTATGAACCCATCCCTGCCCTTGTGTGGCAGTGCACAATAGAAAGTTGTTTTCACATATCCACACATTAAAACATTGATTGTAACCGTGATATATATGTGCTTCAGCCTACAGTTTAGGCCTATTGTCTTATGTATGACCCTCTGTCCTGCGTGACAGTGAATACTAGCATTAACCTCAATTTAATAAGACTATCAAAATCCTCAGATTAGGCAAAATTGTAATTAATTTTGTCAATAAAGATGTTAATAATAATGGGAGTTAGACAGCTGTTACGGGCTGCTTCCAGGGGGGGGGGGCGGTTGGAAAACAAAAATAGTTACTTAGTAGTTAGTAACAGTTGAGAAGTGGGCGGAAAGAGCAGAGCTCAACCCTCGCAAGCTCAACTAGGTGAATACAGTATTTAACTTTTGACACGAACTGCTATCGGGAAAGGATGTCCGGGTGCTGGAAAGGATAGCAGGGAGGGGGATAGCCGGGAGGAGGTGGGGATAGCCGGGAGGAGGTGGGGATAACCGGGAGGTGGTGGGGATAGCCTGGAGGTGGTGGGGATGGCCGGGAGGTGGTGGGGATGGCCGGGAGGTGGTGGGGATGGCCGGGAGGTGGTGGGGATAGCCGGGAGGAGGTGGGGATAGCCGGGAGGAGGTGGGGATAGCCGGGAGGTGGTGGGGATAGCCGGGAGGTGGTGGGGATAGCCGGGAGGTGGTGGGGATAGCCGGGAGGAGGTGGGGATAGCCGGGAGGAGGTAGGGATAGCCGGGAGGAGGTGGGGATAGCCGGGAGGAGGTGGGGATAGCCGGGAGGAGGTGGGGATAGCCGGGAGGGATGCATTAGATACAGCAAGCCTGGCAGGTCAATGCTCCACCAACGCGTCAACCCATTCAAAGAAACAAAAAAAATTTGTGGCACATGATTCGAGAAAACGTTGACCTTCAGCGCTAGTTATGCAGCCGTTGCAAACTTTAAATGTTCAACTGTATCATTTTACCCATATGATTACTTTTGTATATACACACATGTTTAGTAAAATATTTTATTTGGCTATGGAATTACCTATGTTGATACAAAATACTGACAAGCCAATTTTGTAGTTTTATTTCCAATACAGGTACAGCTTTTCTCGTTTCAAAATAGATTTAATAATTAAATATGTGAATATGCTCGAAGTCTTTTGTTTTTACTTGCTACCACAACCAACAAGTAAAGCGTATTAATACTGTGAAGCACACAAACAATATAACGAACCCGGCCTGAGGTCAGGCTCGACTTGTGTACCGTTTAATAATTGCCCGTAATTTTCATGGTTGTATTGTTTCATTCATTAATTATACGCAACAGTATAATTTCCTTTTGGCAGCAGTGAGAATAGTGCATCTACCTCGAGTTTACAGTGATGTAACAGTCACAGTAGGGGTGGCCACCAGTCACCCCAGCAGCCATCATAGGGTGCATGACAAGAGCTGCACAATTGCAGATGGATTTTCAACTATCTATTGAAGTGGGGCAAAATTTACAGAGCACTTATGTATTAACTTATGATTTTACTGCACCTCTTGCTTGATTGTGGTGACAATCTGTGTTTACTACCCATCTTCCAAATATGATTGAACCCATAGCTAATGTGGAGGGAATTACAAAATATTTACTGTTGAACAATCGCCCCTCCTGAAAGAGCTAACTTTTGTACTACTGTACTGTAATGGACTAATAAAAGGCAGACTAAAAATTAGAAGAGTACCAATACATCTAACCAAAGCCTTAATAAGCAATTTGAGGCCTACCATATGCAAGCTTTGGCATAATTCAGTACATTATATATTATACTAGGCCTAGGAAAAAGTTATGTTTGGTTTTGCCATCTTTCATGGGCACTACAAAATTAACAGCAAAATGTGGAAGTTTTGTATGCAATAGTCCATATTTTGTACTTCCATAGCAACCATAGGTACTACTGTCATTTTTAGATGACAGATTTACTGCACAAGTTTACAAGCCCCAAAATACTATAAAACCAGCCAAAACAATAACTTTGTGCTGTGGGCACTCTCTCAGTGTTTGGTGTAATTTTTTTTAGCCCAATAAATAAAAAGTGACCATGACTGAAATAGAGATATACTCTAATACGTAGACATGTAACTTAAGTGCTCTGTGAAGTCTGGTTTTAGACCTTTAGAGTAATTAGTCAACAAAGTAAAATCTGAAGCATCTATCTCACAAAGCTCCGACACCCATCATCCCCTCCAAGGAAGAGTGGCTACGACGTAGTTCACCTGACTCCTTCATGCCAATGTAGCTCCCAGGAAAGGCCTAAAGTTCCAATTAGACACCAGATGAGATTGTGGTCCAGCTTTATTGTGGGTGCTGGTGGCTCAGTAGGTAGAAGTGTACTCTCCTAGTTGTATTCGCATAGTTGTGCTGGCAGGGGTCGAGCTTTTGGCTCTCTGGTCCCGCCTTTCTACCTCTCTCCTATACTGTGGGCTGCTGCTTTTGTGGTCTGTGGTTCGAGGCTCCGAGGGTCAAAGTGAATGAATGAATGAATATATATATATATATATATATATATATATATATATATATATATATATATATATATATATATATATATGTCGTACCTAGTAGCCAGAACGCACTTCTCAGCCTACTATGCAAGGCCAAATTTGCCTAATAAGCCAAGTTTTCATGAATTAATGTATTTTCGACTACCTAACCTAACTTTTTCGGCTACCTAACCTAACCTATAAAGATAGGTTAGGTTAGGTTAGGTAGGGTTGGTTAGGTTAGGTAGGGTTGGTTAGGTTCGGTCATATGTCTACGTTAATTTTACCTCCAATAAAAAAAAATTGACCTAATACATAATGAAATGGGTAGCTTTATCATTTCATAAGAAAAAAATTAGAGAAAATGTATTATTTCAGGAAAACTTGGCTTATTAGGCAAATTTGGCCTTGCATAGTAGGCTGAGAAGTGCGTTCTGGCTACTAGGTACGACATATATATATATATATGACAATATCAGACCACGGAGGAAGAATTGAAACAGGAATTTTCTTAAGTACTTTCGTTTATTAATAAATCTTCAGAAGGAATCACATTGTATTCAGATGTGTTCAGACACATCTGAATACAATGTACTATTTATAACTTAAAGTTATAAATAGTTATATATATATATATATATATATATATATATATATATATATATATATATATATATATATATATATATATATATACACACACACACACACACACACACATATATATACATACATGTGTGTGTGTGTGTACGTGTGTGAGAGTAAGAGAGAGAGTATGAGAGAATGTGAGAGTATGAGAGAGTATGAGAGTATGTGAGAGAGTATGAGAGTATGTGAGAGAATGAGAGTATGTGAGAGAATGAGAGTATGTGAGAGAATGAGAGTATGTGAGAGAATGAGAGTATGTGAGAGTATGTGAGAGAGTATGAGAGTATGTGAGAGAGTATGAGAGTATGTGAGAGAGTATGAGAGTATGTGAGAGTGTGAGAGTATGTGAGAGTATGTGAGAGTATGAGAGTATGTGAGAGTATGAGAGTATGTGAGAGAGTATGTGAGAGTATGTGAGAGAGTATGTGAGAGAGTATGTGAGAGTATGAGAGAGTATGAGAGAGAGTATGAGAGTATGTGAGTATGTGAGAGTATGTGAGTATGTGAGAGTATGAGAGTATGTGAGAGTATGAGAGTATGGGAGTGCAAGAGAGAGTATGAGAGAAAGTCTGAGAGTATGAGAGAATGAGAGTGTGAGGGATTGTGTTAGGGTAGATGTAGTTAAGTTGACCTGTTTTAAGTAGAGGTGGAGTAAAGTTAATTAGGTTCTAAAGCCTACTGGCGAACCGTCTTTGGTATGACTGGACTTGTATCCAACTTGAACAGTTGATTTACAAACACAGGAGTCATCTGGGCTGTAAACACAACATGATGCTCAGGCTCCTGCCACCTTCACTACCTCTTTACCATGTTGTCATCACCTCTGGGTAAATTTATATGTCCAATATATATGATATATTTACTGGCATTAAAGCAAAGAATGTAGGATTTTACAGATTCGTGTCTAGAGTGGTTGAGATTTAGGTTTAAGTTGTAAGTCTACTACACATGAAGAAAGTTATAAGGATATTGTGTTTCGTGCTATAATAGTACTTTATAAGCAGTGACTATCTTGCATCATACGTTGCATTCAACATATGCGGAGAATGCGACAGGGGCGGCTGGCTCTCTTTACTCCATTATACATGTCATCTGCCAGATTTTCTGCAGCTGTTATTACCACATACAACTAATAAAGCTTGATGTATTTGCGGTAGTGGGTTCATAGAGGAGGAGGAGGAAGCCTATAGCTGTGGGTGAGGGAGGCGGGTCCTGGTGGAGAGGGCGCAGGCTCCCCCACACATGCACCAACACCCCCCACCAGTCACTCACCTGTTTATGTCGACCTTTGAACACCACGGCAAAGGCACCGTGACCTATGAGGTCCTTGGTGCTATACTCGTACTCCCCGACCACCTCCATGGCGGTGTGGATACTGTGTGGGTGTACGGGTGTGGATAATCACTTACACCTCCACCATGGCCGCCGACTGTGCCTCACCAACACACTTGCTCGATCAATACTAAATATCGCGCCTTTATTCTGCTACCGACACTCTCAAGCATTAAGTGACATGATTGACAGTAAGTCTGCAAGGGTCGAACTCGCTATATTCAATGCCGTATATAAAATGGCAACTAATATTTAAGCGATTTAATAGTGAAGGGCGACGAGGGGGTTCGTCACGTGACCCCTCTGGTGGCTCAAGTCTTACTGAGTGTCGTCTGCTGTGATCAGCTGATGGACGCGCCACGCCGCTCCTCCATGCTCCTCCCGCCTCAAAAACTAGCTTCCTCTTTGCCCTCCATTCTCAAACTGTGTTTTCTATGCTTTATTTAATGCTAGATCGGCTGATTATATTTTTAACCTTGCTAATATGATATATAATTATGATTCGTGAATGTATTTAGCGATGAAAATTCAGTTTGCATCATACACACGTAAACAAAAAGCGTCACAATACATATATTACAAACGGCGCCTAATTTAAATTTACAACAAACAAAACGATGTGTTGATCATGATATAAGAGCCTCCTAAACCTTATAGTTCTTCAAGTTGTTTCTGCGGTAGGGCAAAGTTAAAACTTATAAAGAATCTTAAAATTATAATGTACACCGAAAACGCGCTAGAAATGTAATAATTATCTGTACACGAATCACATGAAGTTAACTACATTAATAACATATCAATTATGACACTAGTTCACCACATATGTAAGTTGCTTTGCTTGAAGACTGTACTTGTAATCGCTGTTTAACCCGGTAATTGTTGACATAAAACTATACACTCAATTTTGCAACTAGCTCATCAAGACTGTAACTTGTTTACCTAAATGAATTTTGGGGGTTCTTGAGCCCATTATGTACCTCTGTAACCTTTTCCACTACCGCCCACATGATGGGTATTGGGTGCATAATAAAATGAACTAAACTAATTAACACTGTTACTACCTGCAGACTGGAGTAGTAGTGGTAGGCATCCTTCAGTCTCGGGAGACTATGGAGTTGCGCTCTGGTTGCTCTCCAGGGCGTAAAGCCTGAGTAGGTCAGTATGGAGAAGCTGTTACCCATACAGCATGTCCCCCCTCTCCACGTTGCTGAAATTATCCAATGGAAAGGCAAATGCCATTACACATGGTTCCAGCACCGTCGCAGGAGCTGCCAGAACGAGGTCGAAGTCGACAACGAACTGCCTTAGGACTCCAACTTCGGATTTTTCCTCGAGGTTGACTCCTGAAGCCTTTCCCAAAATAAGAGTATGGCCGCAAGGCAGCGGAGGTTTCAGAATCAGAATCAGCAGACTGGAGTACTTACATATTTATGAAAGGAAATAATACCATGCAAAGAATAAAGCACCTAAATATATACATGTAAATAAAAAACCTACATTTTGTATATAAAAAACCTACGAAAACCTATAAAAAATGCCTTGGCTCAGTACACAACGCTGTTTTGCTGAATACTTCGCTCATATTGAAGCTTCCCCCTCAAGCAGTCTTCATCGATCTAGCTACAGCTTTTGACACAGCAAACGGGGTAATCATACTAGAACAGCTTGCTGAGCTAGCAATACAAGGAAAATTACTTTAGTAATTTGTGATGCAAAGTAATTTCGTCCTCTCCAGCAGTTGATTTGCCTATTTCTAGTGCATGATTTAATTCCTATTCAGTTATGTCATTAAGATCTGACTCGTCAATAGCTGTACAGGCAAGATCGATGGTTCGTTGTCTGTTTGGGGCATGTCATTAAGTTTGTTCTGTATGTTACTTGTGAGCGAGTTATAACTTGATGTTAGTGCCCATTGATCAAGGAGAATGTGTACTTGTTCTAGTGGGCTGTGGTGCAGTGGTTTGGTTTCTACCTAGTCTCTGGGTAATATGTGCCCATGTCATACCAAAGTTCATGGTTAATGCACGCCCATGCCCACATTTCCTGGGGAAAACACACCCATGCCCACTCCTACCCCCCACAGTTCCTGGGAAAACACACCTCCATGCCCAATCCTACCCCCACACTTCCCGGGAAAACTACCCATTCCCACAGTTCCTGGGGAAACACACCCATACCCAATCCTACCTCCCCACAATTCCTCGGGAAAACACACCCTTGCCCACTCCTACCACCCAAAGTTCCTGGAAAAAATATGCAACTCATGCCCACTGCCCCAAGCCAGCTTAGCAGGTATTTCGAGGAACATATATAATAGAGAAAACTGTAGAAGAAATATGGGTACATATAAGACAACTTGTATTTTACCCAAGCCCACCCATTCATAAATGTCTAACCAACACTTAAAATAATCCAGTGATCACACATCCATTATGTTACCAAGCAAGATTAATAATACTCTAAAAAGATTTTCCTCAGTAAAAGTAATATCATACAATAAAGTAAGAGGAGAATTAAACACAGGGGTTGCTAGAGAAAGAAATGTATTGTAAGAAATTAAATCTGAATGTGTTACAATACACCTAAATGACATTAACGTAGCTGGAGCAGGGCAATGTTCTCTGTATCTGCCTTCTAGCCCACCAGCTGGGAAAAGCTCTGTTGTCTTGAAGTAGGCTATACAATACAGCATTTAAAAAGGCAAATGAATGTAGAATGCATGAAAGTAGAATCCAGGATTACTAAGGGATTTTTTTTAATTTAATATAAAAAATTTTTTCACATACTGACCAATTGAAAACAAAAACAAATTGGTATGTATAGATATAATACTGTAGATATTACAGCTTGTGTGGCACAAGTGCACATGCTATGATACCTACAGTGGAACTGTGGGGGATTGTCTACAGGCCCACACAATATCTGGAATTGCACATTCTTAAACTTCTTCAAGCATTTCCAATGTCTTAGAATTAGTGTGCTTAATACTACACATTATATTTGCTAAATAATTATGCACATTAATTTAATAAGGATGTTGCTGCTTTAACAAAAAAATGTATATTCAGAACAAATAAGATACTATATCATGTAAAAAAAAAAAATATTCTCCTGTGCAAAAGTATCTAATTTTTAAAGCATTATAATACAGTATATGAAATAATGTAGAATTTAAAATACTGTATAACTAAAGCCAAAACATGTACAAAGCCTAATTAAAGCATCTAATTAGGCTAATGTACTGTACTTTACACCACACTTGAATATGTACAAAATATATGGCTATGTTTAATAACTAATGCATTTAAAGGTGTAATTTACCCGTCATATTTCTAAGCAATTACAAAACAAATTGACAAAACAAAGTCAAGTATATCAAATAAATTTATCCAATGAATACAAACATTTAACAAAATATAGATTTGGGATATCTAATGACCACAATGAGATAAAAATAAATGTTCTTTTATTTCCTAATAAACAGACCTGACTTTACAGAACCCAAACAAGAAATAATTGAAATAATATGATGAACACAATTAAATGAACAGCTGAACAAGCAGTAAACTGTATTACAGCTCTTGGTAGCTACACTCACAATGAAACCATGCACAAGTGAAACGTATATTTGTAAATGTAATGTGGGCTTTCACCTGTTTTTTACTTATCTAACCAGTTTTCCCACTAAGTTCATGTTGTCTCAATACAGAGTAACAAAGATGGATGATAATTACTCTAAGAAACTAATTAAATATATGAACAGAAAAAGGAAATTGCACCATACACTAGTTCTCTTAAACAATGGAAAAATAATAACGATGTACATTACAATATTTAAAATATAACAAATACAGTATTTAATTTGCATTTTTTATGAAAAAAGTATATATTGCCACTATATATAATTCATACATATATAAAAGATAATGATACAATAGAAAATAATTAGTGTACAATACATAAGATGGTAATAAATTGTAATCTTTAAATGTCAATTGTCACATTTGTAAACCATATTGTACTATACATTACAGGTACGTACCTTTATTTTAAAACCCTTATTAGAGTATATTCTAACAATCAAATACTTGTATACACTGTACAAATCTTTTAGGATACATATATATGTATCAAACGAGAAAATCAGGATACAGTACTGTATATTCAATAATATCAGTAATCCCAGCTGGCCACAGAAGATTCACATTTCGGAGGCAGGAGTGAGCAATTTTTTAAGCAAACTGTATTGCGTGCTTCTTTAATTACCTGCTACCAGAGCTCCAACACCTTTGTCAAATTCTCTGTAAATTAAAAATATAATTAAGTAAATTAACAGTTCTTCACTGAAAACAGAATTAAATATTTTGGGCAACAAACTGAACTGCACGAGACAGCTTCATTAACACATTAACTCTCTAATAGCTTCATTTATAGAATTTGATTTAATTTAATGCTTCAATATAATTTTGGTATAAAAATACCCTCTTTTGGTTATACTGTATATTTAGTACCATATTGGCTTGATTAGGTCCCTTTAGCCAATAAAAAGGCTATATCCATATACAGTATGTAGTAAACCAATAAATTACAGGCAAGATCCAATGGTGTATGAAACTGACTGACCGACCAATAAACAACATCAATAGTGCCATTAAAAATACTGGAGAAAAAATAATTGAGTTTTAAGCCTTAAATTACAGGATTCATAAAACTACTTTTATTCTCTTCAGAGGGAGAAATTTAATTCAAACAAAAGCTTTAAACATCAATAAAGGAAAATAATATGTACAGGGGTATCTTCTTCTAACTTAAGTGTTTCAACTGAATACAGTAGGCTTATAACGAGGTCCCCCCAAAGGCTGAATTATTGATTCCCTCCTACAATGCAATCCCACAACAAGCTGACTACCTCCTGGGTAATTATTTACTTCTAAGTGAACAGATGCATTAGGTGATGGGAAATGCGCCCAACCATTTCTGTCCCACCTGTGAGTTGAACCTGGAATTCTCAGTTTTAAATCGGACCCTTCACACTCCTCAAGGTACCCATTCAAGGTACCATTCGTAACTTAAATATGAAGGTATGAATGGTAATACTCTTAATATGGCTCCAATCAAGTTTTTAATAATATTTAAAGATGGACTCAATATTACAAGAAGTAGTTGGAGCCTTGACAAAAGCTATTGAGGATATTTAAAACCAAATTCTATGGTTTGTTTTCATTTTGATTTGGTAAGGTTTTTGTTCACTTAGTTATTGCCCTGCTACCCTTTGAAAATAAATTTTGAGGCTGGGGATGTGAGAAATAAGCTAGCTGTGGTTAATTTTTTTGGCAGACATGTTCATTTGCTGGTTGTCTATTATATTATAGGTTGAAATAAAAATTTTGCCAAGTGAAATTAACCCATAGACAATGGGAAATGCAACCTGTAAGCATCTTGATTGTAATGAATCCTTCACCGCAACAAATTGAGATTGGTCCCACTTAGTAAATTTAATTGAGGTTGTACTGTATTGGAATTATACAATAATAATAACTATACTGTACATTAAATCTCAACTGCATAATTTTTCTGAATATAAAACTATAAACATGAACTGAGCATATTTTACCTTGATGTAATCTGCTCTCCGGGAATATAAAAAGGATTGCACACAACATTTGTATACATATTGTGCAGACGTCTGAACATCTGAAAAATATATGAAAGTATGAATAAAAAAATAATCATCAAAGAGATTCCAGAAATTTTTAAGTTATCCGAGTTGTAAATAAATTTTCATAATGTTATTCAATATTCAAGTTCAAGTTCAAGTTGTATTGAATAAAATTTTCATAATGAATAGCTTAAACCCCCCTCTACTTTCCTTTTTTTCATTCCAATATTATGCTAAGCTGGGTAACTAATGAAAAAACATATTGTACTGTATTACATGTGCTAACTAAACAATAACTTATGTTATCATATTGTCCGAGTACAAAAAATGAAAACCTTAAAGTTTGAAGTAATTTTGCAAGTACTGATATTTCACTGACACTTCCAAGTCCACTTTTATTTGTAATTACTGTATTATAACTTACCATTCTGATTTCATTGTCTCTTAGGGTTGTATTGGCTGCATCAGTGATGATGACAAACTTTATCCTTGTGTTGGTAGTGTAACCAAAGCTACAAAACAGTTAAGGACAAAAAATATATATTTGAAAATTAAAACGCCTTGTAAATATATGATAGATGACAGATAGCCGAGGTAACATTTTCACATGGAATTGCAATTACTATATAAAATAAACATAGCATTCTAGTTAATTTGATATTTCCACAGTACTGAATACTGCATACCAAATGAATTACTTGGGAATACATACATACTGTACATACAAAATTATTAATCTGTTTCTCACCTTCATAGGGTGGGAAGGCATGAGCCCAGAAAAAACTAAAAAATACTGTATAGCAACAGAAAGTTAAAAATGAAATAATAAAATATTACAAATATTACATGTCCATTAATTATGACCTGTAATATATAACACCAAGGCAAAACATGAACTTCCACACTCAAGTTGACATAAAGAGCAGCATCCCACTGCTTCATAAGACCACTTGTACAATTCTCCTCATTAACTGTTGTATGCATTACAGTATACTGGGTATATAAATAAATTCTCTTCATATAATCCACATTCACCCAGCCTTGTTTCTTATTATATCAACATTACCTGCATTATTTTTCCCATCCTGTGAGTTGATACCAATGATCAGGAGAAATGATTATAAATTAATTACAGTCATATTTAATAGTTCTAAATGGAAATACAGAAGAGTTGAGGTATATATATATTTCTGTCCATATTCTTATTGTGTACCTCTATACCCAGGAAGACTTTACATCTGTAAATGAAAGGTCTGCTGGAGAACATCATCTGCACTAAAGCCAAGTGATTAGTTTGTATACTTCAGATTCTTTTAGCCAGGAATCTGAACAATTGGTGGCTGGTTTACAAGTGAATATTACTACTATACTTAAAATACTGCAATATTCAAACCCTTGTCCTTAATTATGAATACCTAGTTCTCATAATAAAGGATACACTTTATACTCTTCTGATGCATAGAGAAGCCCTAAATATAGCTCTCTTGTGTCTCCAGGAGTCTTGTTAACAGCAGCAACCTTCTCCTGTATAACATCTAACCCTGTATGTGCCAGGTAGTGAAGATGAAGTTCCTCTCGCCCACTGCCAACCCACACATAAAGTGGGCTATTCTGATGAGAAAATTAAATCGTATCAGAAATAGATAACCTTGAAACAAAGTTTGATTTGGATGGGTTGGATTGGGTTGGCTTTGCATTTGATGATGAAAAATTCATTAAAAAGATAGAGGCTCAAGGTATTGGGGGTTCTATATTAAGTTGGATTAGAGCATGGCTATACCAAAGGAAACAAAGAGTTAGTATAAATGGAGTTCAAATCAAATCAAATCAAATGTTAATTCAGATAAAAGTTAAGTCAGAGTGGAAAAATGGTGTAAGTGGAGTGCCTCAAGGCTTTGTCCTGGGACCTCTGTTATTCATAATACATGTACTGTATATATAAATGATTTAGATTCAGGTTTGAGCAGCAATACGCATTTGCAAATTTGCCGACGATACAAAAATCGGGAGGGAAATAACCATGAAAGAAGATTCACTATCATTTCAAGATGAACTAAATAGGGTTTTGAAATGGTCAAAAGATTGGCAGATGCAGTTTAATGCTAACAAATGTAAGGTTTTGAGGCTAGGTTATAATGATAGCGTTACAAGATACGAGCTAGATGATGTTGAGATTGTGAAGTCGGATTGAGAAAGGGATCTGGGAATTATGGTCAGTAAGAATTTAAAATAAAAAATCAATGCATAAATGTTCATAATAAGGCAAATAGAACACTGGGATTTATTTCTCGAAGCATTAGTAATAAAACACTAGTGTTATTTTTCAGGTATATCTTCTTGTTGTTAGACCTCATTTAGATTATGCAGTTCAATTTTGGTCGCCGTACTATAGAATGGCTATAAATGAACTAGAACGCGTCCAGCATAGGATGCCAAAGTCAATCTCTCAAATTAGAAACCTGTTACATGAAGAAAGATTGACAAAATTTAACTTACATTCTCTAGAAAGGCGAAGAATTAGGGGCGATATAATAGAGGTGTACAAGTGGATGAATGGACATAACAAAGGGGATATTAATAGGCTATTAAAACTATAAACACAGAATATCATGTCATGATGTGATGGGGTGGGTTGAGTTGATTTCGTTTGGGTACCTTTTACAGTCAATGGGAAAGCCGTTTTGTGTATTTAATTTTACTTATATACATACAAGAAGAAACACCGGGTGTAGTTAGTACAGATTTGTAGTCAGCGTGTAGTGTAGTGCAGTGTTGCGGGTTGTGTTAGTACAGATTTTGGCGATTAATGTGTACATTCTTGCAAAGCCACACAGAACCAGCGCGTTTCAAACAAGCCTTAAAAGATAATACAAAACTTGCTGTACAAAGTGACCTGTATTCAATGAGTACCATTGTTTATGTACCGAAATTATCGTCTAGCTATGATCAATTGTGCCAAAGTAAGTCTTACTTCCTTCCCAATGACAGCTACACACACGGCCATGATCCTCTCAGCTGACGTCGTGTTGTTGTTGTGGTGACGACCAGCTGTGTTGACGCTCTGGAGCTCACCACAGAAAACGTCACTACACTACAACACTAACTAGGTACACAAGCTTCTCTAAAATATCTTATGTACAATAAATAAAAATAGTAGTTAGTAACAGTTGATTGACAGTTGAGAGGTGGGCCCAAAAGAGCAGAGCTCAACCCCCGCAATCACAACTAGGTGAATACAGCTTGATAATGCAGGCGATGAGTCACAATAACGTGGCTGAAGTATGTTGACCAGACCACACACCCTTCAATTTCTAGTGTGTGGTCTGGTCAACAGCTTGATAATGGTCCAGGACAGACCAAAACATCGTTATTTCTTCACTTTCTGATGTGGTTTGGTCATCATAGCTTCAGCCGTGTTATTGTGACTCATCGTCTGTAAATATTCTTGGCTGTGCTCAAGTCAGGTCCTACAAAATAAAAAAGAACTTGCATCTTATTTTGGGGAGCTTGTTTGTACAAATACAGTATTATATATTGAATATTTTAAGCTTTTTTAATTTACTTAAGTCTGAGCTTGTTACATTCCATTTATTTTTATGATGGGTTCATGTTGATCCAAGAGCTGGCATGTTTGGTTCTCGAACATAAATAATATTTGCCCGCTGTATTAGTGGCTTCAGGCATTGTATGTGCTAGCTCTATCTATTAATCCGACATTATGTTTGTAACTCATTTTCAGTGTATGTACCTTTACCTGAATAAATATCTTATCTAATCTTATTTAAATAGTAAATAATTAAATAGGTAATGACATAGTTTACCAGTGAATATGTATTTTCACGCATTGTGCCTCCCGGACAGGCCCCCAATTTAAAGTTACGGTAAAATTACTAATAGAGCAGTGGCTATTAGGGCAGATGGAATTCCATGCACATTAAAAAAAAGGTAAAAACAAAGTAAATAAAACTGCTAAGTAGATCTTCTAACTGTATGGTAGCTGTAGGATAAAGTACAAGGAATAAAAATTTAAATACTTTACTATGACAAAAAATAACTAACAATTTACATGAAATAAAAATAGTTCCTCTATGATTTGGCTTAATAATACAGTGCAAAAATGAAAAGCAAACAAACAAGTTAATGTTACGTTAAGGATCAAAATCAATGGTGTTGGAATACTATTTACAATACTGCATAAATCTACCACCACACAGGGTAGTGTGAGAGCAGATGTAGGCAAGTTGTGAACTGGAGAGTATTCTGCTGGTGGTAGCTGGCTGGCTTCTATATATTTGGGGGCTTGACCGTGCAGATGGCACTGGTGTAACGATACAGTAATTGGAAGCCGGCAGATGCAAACTATCAAGGTGCTTGTTGACCAGAGTGGTGCGGGCCTCTGCAGACGACAAGTGTCCCGGGGGGTAGAAGACTAGGGTGTAGAGAGTGGTGGAATCTTGTCTAGATGTTATAGCTGTTGTTCTTGTTGTTAATTCTCTATTCTTGAACATGTAGACGTGTTGTGGTTGAACAGGTGATGATGGAATAGGCTCAATCTCCTTCTTTAGGGAGATTCTTAGTACAGTATACATTATCTAAAGATAAAATTTATATCATAGCCATTAAAAAATCATGTGACCTATTATATTCTTTTCACAATTATAATCTGTGGATTCTTGAGAATGACTGAATCAGTAATATCACACTTTTTTGGTAACTTTATTTTAGTTTTACAACAATCCAAAATATCTTATAATTTAAATTATAAATACAGTACTATCATAAAATTTAAAAATCTTTATTAAAACTTTTAGAGATTTGGTCCCCCCCCCCACTACACACACAAAGGTGCACACGTATGCATGTAAACATCCACGCTGCATGCACAGGTGATTAGGGCACCAGAATAGAATTATAACAATACAAAATCAATAAAGCAAAATTAGTTTAAGTTCAAGATCACAGTATAAGCTAATTGCACATTGGTTATTATTTATAGTCAAACCCATTTGCCTTTAAGAGATATATTATAAATAACAGAAGAATATATCAACAACTCATACCAGTACAGTGCATACATTACCATGTACAGTACAATACAGTAGAAGATTTACTCATGTCTAAATCATTTATGCCATAATTATATTAAACTGCATCTGATTTGTAAGAGAATTTTACATTCCCATATAGTTTTAGATTACTGCCTCAAATGCATCATTTATCAATTTTTGAGGTACCTAGAGTAGACGTGTGTACAGTAGTTAACTTCCATCTTCTCTTGGGTGGTTGCGGCAAATAATAGAGATCCTTCTTTCCCGGGATATTGATTCAGTACCAAAATAAGAATCTTTCTCACCAAGAACCTCATGAGTATAATTGTAGCGAGATTCATCCCTGAGGGAGAGAGTATAACACAATTTATTGAAAATTTCTATATTATTCATGAACTATAAAAATGAAAATAAATTAAGGAAAAGATATCAAGAATGTAAAAACTGGAGTGGGATTATTATCAGCCCTGTGCAGATAAAATTAAACACAATATTTTGTTGGTTTACTGAATTCTAGGGATGTATTAATGTAGTAATTATAAGCATGAAAGCAGTGCCTGATAAATTATACATACAGTATATTCTGGATGGTAGAGCAACAGTCTCATGTCTTGCAGGTTGGCGTTCAATCCCTGACCGTCCAAATGGTTGGGCACCATTCCCTCCCTCTGTCCTATCCTAATTCCATATCCTCATATTCCTTCCAATTGCTATATAGCCATAATTGCTCAGTGCTTTCCCCTGATAATTACTTTACCTTACCTCAGCACATCCACTGATTTCATATTTATTTGACAACACTAGTGCAATGTATAAAGGTTTCAGTATTATAAACTACTATACAGCAACAGGCTACGACTGCTAGACTAGCCTGCTGTAAATGTTCAACAAACCATTCACAAAGGGAGAAGTAGAATATGATATTAAACTTAAAAGAAAGATGGATCATCAGAAGCATAACAGATGGACATGATATAAAAGTCAGTAGACAAATGGCTGCTATAGTTCAATCCAAGAGTGTGTGAAGTAATGAAAATGGAGACATGAGTAAGAGGAGACAGAGAAGAAAAGAAAACAGGTATTTGTCAAAATTAGAAAGAATGATTTGGGCTTAGACATGACACCAATACTGAAGGAGCAAGTAAATTCAAAAACGTTAGTAAAGCACACAAAACTAGCAAACATATTGATGGCTTTTAGTAAACTAACAGAGCCTCCTTTAAAACAAAATGCACAGCCAATGTCAGACCAGTTTTTGAATGTGCAAAATTGGCAGAAAATCCTTAACATGTGAAGTGCAAGAAAAAGATTGGAAAAGCTAATGATCTTAGAAGAGAGAAGGGCCAAGGGAATTATTGTGATCGTATACAAAATAGTATAGTACAGAGATGAACAAAAACTATTTCTTAATCAGGAAGAAATCAGTCCAAGAGATTTTGTATATCTTTGGACAAAAATCCGAGAGAGATATCTAAAAATATATATTTAGAGATAACCCGAGATATCTCAAAAAATATATAGAAATATAAAAATCCGAGAGAGATATCTAAAAATATATATTTAGAGATAATCCGAGATATCTCAAAAAATATATAGAGAGAGATAAAATTACTACAGTACTGTACTTATATGCTAGCAGCTAACCTGTCATCCAAAAATGATAGTATGTACTATACTAATAGCAACTATTGGTTGAGCATGCAAAAATGGACTGTTATACCCAAAAAAATTTACATTTTGTACTATTAATTTTGTAGTGGACATGAGAAAGAAGTCAGTACCAAAACCTATACTTTTCTATGTCTAGTATTATGTAGTATAGTTACTGTTCACCATATTTAGAATGCCATTTGGAGTATTCAAATAGTACTAAACATGACAATTTTTGTGTACAACAAACAAGTTTTGTACATCTGGCAAATAGTTGCTCTATGTAATATCATTTCTGGAGAATGGGTGGCATATGCAATGTGTGTGGAGTAAGCAAGTTGATAGTCTCCGTGGTGTAGTGGTAAGACACTCGCCTGGCGTTCCGCAAGCGCTATGTCATGGGTTCGTATCCTGGCCGGGGAGGATTTACTGGGCGCAATTCCTTAACTGTAGCCTCTGTTTAACGCAACAGTAAAATGTGTACTTGGATGAAAAAACGATTCTTCGCGGCAGGGGATCATATTCCAGGGACCTGCCCGAAACGCTACGCGTACTAGTGGCTCTACAAGAATGTAACAACTCTTGTATATATCTCAAAAAAAAAAAAAAAAAAAAAAAAATTAACTGGGAGAAGTTCAGAAGCTCTAACCACTTTCTCAAGACCATATGTAACAGGAAACCAACATGTTGACAGATACCAGGTATCAATATAGCATCTAGAAGGGGCTCCAAGAGCCAGAATTCACTTTCCATAGACACTGACAGGTACACAGCACTGCATTAGTTACTCACTTCATAACATATAGTGACCTCCTACGTAGGAGGATATCTACAACTTGATCTTTGTTGTCTACGTGCACAAGTCTCATCACGGCATCACTCAGCAAACATAAGCCGCATATAATATTGCCACAAAACTGCAAAGAGAGCATGAGAGAATTATATTTATTTTACTCTTCTACTCTTTAAAGATACTACTTGTACCTCAATATACTGTAGATAATGTGATAAAGATGAAAATGAAATGTACATATCTATCAGGCAATACTGTCAACATGTTACTTCAATATCATATGCACTTAAATTTATACAATACAATACAATTTTATTTAAAAGAATGCGTGTCCAAAGAACAATGGAGTAATGTACAAATTGTAGTGACAGGAGTTACACAATCTATGAAGCCACTATTAAGCTAAGTGTTCTGAGCAAAAACATAAAATAAATAGATAAAAATTTTACAACTTGAAACTTCTAAATAATAAAAATTATAATTTTTGTTATCAGAAATTTGTCACCCCTCCCCAAATACAGTACAGTATTATAAATAAAAAATACAGTATATAAAATGTACACACCCAATTAGCTTACGCTTAGTTATTAATAGGCTGCATAATTTGGTTATGCAATTTCTAATTTGAATAGAAAAGAGGCCCTGGAAGTATACATTTTCCTTTAAACTTAAGACAATATAAATTTGAATACCTAAATAGCATGCCAATTCACAAAGCATTTTATATTAAGGTAAAAGCCCAGTTAAAATATAATATAATCAATCAAATGATTTTCACATTGCCACTAACATGGTTAACAAGAATAATCACCTACCCTGACACTATCAACATGTGGTTTAATAACCCCAGCCTTGGCTAAGTCAAGAACATGAATCTGTGGCAGCTGTTGATCCTCTGCAGGAAAAGCATACTGACGCATTCTAGATACAACAATGGTAGCTGCTTTTCCCCATCTTGAGCGTTCTGTTTCTCGAAAACCATGAATTGCCTGAAAGATCATCAGATTATTGATTATAAATAAACATAATTTTTCACATTTCTAAGCACTGTACTGTATATCATTAAGCTAAACAAAAAAACACTAAATTCAAAATAAATATTGCATGTAATTCATGATAAACATTTCACTATACTGTATATGTCATAGGTATCATTTTATTTTATCCCACTTATAAGAGGACAAAGAAACTTGGGCATGAATGAATACTGAACAAGTAAATTACTTAAAAAATGCTTTCATTGAAAATAACTTATGTTGAACATTACAGAGTAATTCACATATATGTCACGGTAATATATTTTATGTATGTTTCCCATTTTCATAAAACTTGTTTGTTAAATATTCTGATTTCATTCTCATTATGAATGAAATCTATGGCTCTACCACTCAGCCCAACCACCTGAGCTGGACGGAAGAGTTACAGTCGCAACATGCAGTTCAGCATTCAATCCCCATCTCTCAAGTGGTTGGGCACCAGTCCTTCCCCTACTCCCCATCCCATCCCAAATCCTTGTCCTGGTCCCTTCCTTGTGCAATGTAATTGTAATGGTTTGGCTCTTTCTCCTGATAGTTCCCTTCTCTTTCTCACTCCTATTCCTACAAATTTCATATCTGCTCACTATTGTGTCTTATCATATCTTTGGCAAAAACCTATCATTGTACACTCTAATCAACAATACAAGAAATAATGTGAATTAGCTCTCTTACCTTTCCAATACTGTACCATGATTTCATTCTCATTATGAATGAAATCTATGGCTCTACCACTCAGCCCAACCACCTGAGCTGGACGGAAGAGTTACAGTCGCAACATGCAGTTCAGCATTCAATCCCCATCTCTCAAGTGGTTGGGCACCAGTCCTTCCCCTACTCCCCATCCCATCCCAAATCCTTGTCCTGGTCCCTTCCTTGTGCAATGTAATTGTAATGGTTTGGCTCTTTCTCCTGATAGTTCCCTTCTCTTTCTCACTCCTATTCCTACAAATTTCATATCTGCTCACTATTGTGTCTTATCATATCTTTGGCAAAAACCTATCATTGTACACTCTAATCAACAATACAAGAAATAATGTGAATTAGCTCTCTTACCTTTCCAATACTGTACCATGAATCCTCAGTAAATATTTTCTTGTATGATTCTCCAATATATATTTCCTTAAATGCTCTTGTAGCACAATGGTCAGTGTATTTGATTCACTATTGAAAGATTCCCATGCAGGACAGATATGTTAAGGTATGTTTCTTTGTTCACCTAATGCCTCTATTCACCTAACAACAAATAGATACCTGGGAGTTAGGCAACTGTTGTGGGTAGCAACCTGGGGAAGGTCAGTCATTGGCCAAGATGAAAAGGTGTAGGCACTATCACTTCAACACGTAACTACAGTATCACTACCATGTTATTATATGAAGCATAATTCCAAGAAACAACATTTAAGTCTAACATGACCATTAACATTAATGTCCCTCTGCAACACTGCTCATGCAATCATTATGATGAGAAGAACCTCACAAAAAATGCATATATTGTATCATAAAGAAAAAGAATATCATCAAAAGCTTGTAACAATATACAATTTCTAAACAAACTATATTAAAGGTTACTTGGACAAATCACAAAATATAACTACTGTAACATGAAAATTAAAGAAGTTTAAATACTGTACTGTACTGTACTTACATCATCCCAATGGTCAAACTCATACTTCATTCTCTTCAGGTGTGGCTCAACTTCTTTCATTAGTATCTCCTCCTCTTCTTCATTTATAAAATCCCTTACAACATCAAAACTTGACACAACTCTCATTCGCATTTCAGGCTGACATAAAGGATGAAAATAAAAGTAATTTGGTTCTTCAGTACTTGATTTAAGCATTTGTTCTTGGCAGTTCCTTGAACTTTTCATTTTCTGTTCTGGTACAGTTCTTCCATGCATGATGGAAGATTCAAATGATGACAAAAACCTTATGTCACAGTAAGTATTCAGGACTGTATGAGCATAGCCACTCCGAAATATTAAATGGTTACCAATTTTATGTGAATGCTTTGACAAAGACATTGAATGTATTGAATAAAATCTTCCTGCACATGTGACACTCTCTAATCCTGATGCTTTTGGTGGTTTGAGAATAAAATTGTTTATTTGAGTATATAGATAATTATTCATTGTAGTACCATTAGCCCAATTTCTATATATTCTCTGACAAGCTGTAGTAATTGTATGTGACATATTGAGACTCTTTCCTTATGATGTATGCAGTTTTATGTGAGGGCTACTTGCTCCAAAAGAATGCAGGAATTGGATTGCATAAGAGGCGTCTTCTGGAAACACAGCACTCCCACTGGGGATGACAGACAGACCCGAGTATTTGTTATATTTGCAGTTTGTGTGATCTCTCGGACTACAACAGCACTTGGGGTCCCTTATTTGTGCCGTCACACCGGTATTATGTTGTAAAAACAAACACGTTATTGGAGACAATATCGTCTGCAACCTCAGGAACAATGAGAGGGGCGTTGACAAGTCACTGGCTTCCTGTCCCCGTCGAGGCCACCTGAGAGACAATGAACCATAAGTAAAATCAAATAAGTTTCTTCCATCAGGCACAGAGTGGATTAAAGTGGCGATGAATGTTGTGGTGTCGTCGTTATACGCTCGCTTGTATATCTAAGATAACAGACCCACTTTCTTTGGCTGCCAATATGTGGGGAGTCTAAAATATATTTTGTTTGTATATATATACAAACTACAGCCTGCAGAATGTCTACTACTACTATAGATTGTCATTCTACTGTTTAGAAGCTTTATTTAGTTAGGTTTCGTGTTGCCATGGACACAAATTCTAGGCCCAGCTGTCCTTATAGTGTAATGACCCTGTTTGTAATACCTCGCCTTGTATCTATCTCGACCGCGCACTCCGCTACTACCACTGAGCTAACCGTGCAATCTCCGCTCTTTCTATGGTAATAACAGATGCTATACCGATCATATAAGATGTTAACACTCGGGCCGTCATACGAAGACGTAAACCAGTACACAGAGGAAGGAGAGAGAGAGGAAGAGGGAGGCAGAGCGAGAGGAGAGAGAGAGGAGAGCGAGAACGAGAGCAAGGAAGGGAGAACGAGAGCGAGTGAGGGCGAGGGAGAGTGAGACACTAGTGAGGGAGAGTGAGACAGAAAGATAGAGATAATCGTAGTCACAACCTATCGTATGAGTTACCGAGTGACGCTGCCACCACCCTGAGTTACCGGACAGGGGACCGGAGTGAGAGTCGTAGGTCTTGCAGATGGAGTAACCTACCAGGACAGGTGTAGGGGACAATTGAACGGTACAAGGATCCTGGCCTGACACTCGAATAATCCTGACCACTTGGGAACTATAGTGTACACAAGAATAAGGCGGGACACACCAACACTAATACCTCAACACGGAAGACGAACGGGGGGAGGAGTACTGAATAATTAAGAGCACTAGGTCACTAGGGCAAAGGGGACGGTAGGCCCAATATCACTAAAGCAAGGAACCATTAATACACATTTAATAACACTTAATATCTGACTTTATTTGAAATAATTAAATAAGACACTCCCTAACTATATTCCCTACTAGAGGCCAAGGGTACTGAATGAGGTGCTTTAGTACAAGAGAGCCGTACTTACTCGTATGTTGTTCCACAGTTTTCCTGGAGATGATGTTCCTTCCCAGAGTCCACACACACCTCCCTACTGGGCTGTGCCCACTCAACTGACTCTCCTGATCTACTGCTCCTCAGCTGAACATGAGGGTTTTGCATTTGTTGTTTAGGGGTTAATCCCTGAAGATTACCATGACGGCATCAATTCTGACCTCTTTGTGATTCGATGACCGTTGACCTGACTCTATGGCTAACTTATACAGAGGTGTAACTTTTACATTGTCTGCCGTCGCCTGACTGGCGCCTGTGGGTTGTTCATCCTCCACGTGGCCTGTTCATGCTGTTATGATGTTCATGTACTATGTACTGCTCTCTTGTTACAATAGACTTATCGCGTACTGCAACTCAATGATAAGCTCGATAATAATGCTTATCAAGTACCGTTCTCGTACTTGATAAACATTATTATCGCGGTCTCCGGGCCTAGGCCACGACTGACTTTCCCCAGGATGTAAATCACAGCAGGTGCCTGAAGGGGGACTACGTTGTTGGGTAGATTAGATACACAGTGTTTAGTGAGTTTCATATTTATTTAGTAGTCTAGATTACTGTAGTCGGTTGTTGACATTGTCGTAGACATTCAGACGGAGCTTGGAGCGGAGCAGAGAGCTGAGTGAGGCCGGAGTCGCGGAGCTCTATGTGGGAAAGCGTGGCGGCCCGATGGGGAATCATGAGTGTCTAAACTCAATGGGGAGCGAGAGCATTGTAGCTCGATGACGTCGTAGTCTGCTGTCTGCTCTGTCGAAACTGTAGCGTCTTGGGGTCGATTAGAACTGTACACGCCAAGTACAGAATCTATACACCAGTTGATTGACGGTTGAGAGGCGGGACCAAAGAGCCAAAGCTCAACCCCAGCACGCACAACTAGGTGAGTACTGGCGAATCATCTTGTGTACAATGTGACTTGTATCCGCTTAATTGACGTCCCTGTACCCACCGTATGTATTAGTTGCTGGGGAAACATACATTTAATAATAATATTTATTTACAAGACGGTACAATGGGTATGTGAGATTACATAAGGTTGGTATTTATACATTCTTGCAAAGCCACTAACACGCATAGCGTTTCCTTTTATATACATGAGCTGAATGGAATTTTTATTTTAGTGTAGATAATGTAAATAATTGTATTTTTTTGTATTAATGTATAGCTTCAGACAATAGCACGTTACAATTTTGTCTAAAAAGAATTGAGTAAACCACTTAAAATAAAAGTAGCCCGAAACGCTATGCGTACTAGTGACTTTAGGCATTGTATGTACTAGCTCTATCTATAAATCCAACATTATGTTTGTAAATCAACTATGTATGTACTTTTCCTAAATAAAAATTTATTTATTTATTTATTTATTTTATTACGTGTCCAAATTAATGCCTCCGTCCAGTAATTGGACACGGTCTCCGGGCCTAGGCCACGACTGACTTTCCCCATTTAGCTAAGTTAAGGGGAATCGAGCCTGGGACCTCTCGGCTCTGATCGACTGCAGTGACAACTGCGCACTTTGGTGTAAAATCATTGATTAATTGCTGGACATTTACGACTATTTTGTTGAAGATTGTGCTCTAGCTCCTGTCCACAGAGAAGACAATTGGAGCGCGACTACTGGAAGCAGCAACTTAATAAGCTTAACAGCAGGCTATGGGAAAATATTTAATATTTATTCCTGGGAATTGTGTGGGTGGGGTGGGGATTACATTATGCCTTCCCCTAGTCATCGGGGTATGGTCGTTTCGGACACGAGACGATTTGACACAGCTGTTTTTTTTATAATATTAAAACGTGTACTGAATATTGCTATGCTAGGATGTATTAGTTTAGGTTCAATAGTATTTCGATTAGGTTGGGCTGGGTTACGTTAAGTTAGGTAGGATTTAAAAATGTTGGCGAATCGCCTTATGTACGATGTGACTTGTATCCGCTTCATCTAAGGGGACGCCCGGGGGCGTGCCAGATTGGGCTACAAGTAGCGAATTGGGCTACTTTTGAGAGCCCCGCGCTCCCAATTTTTTTAATTTCGCTACTTGCTACTTTTTGGGCTAATTTAAAAGCAACTCAATGATGCTTATTTATGGTCAGATGCAACACAAACAAGCACCCCGCGATAACAGCCATAGACTGACAATTTAAATGCGAGCACAGCACGCAGTATATCCTTTCACGACCAAAGATCACATTCACTCCAAAAAAATCTTCCACTTACAGGCTATTCATGCCTGTGCCACCTCTTGGGTAGCTTAATCTTCATCAATCAATCACAAATAAATAAAAACGATTTCAAGTTCAGTTAGTTTAGTTTAGTTCATTTATTATGCACCCCATACCCATCTTGTGGGCGGTAGTGGAAAGGGTTACAGAGGCACATAATGGGCTCAGGGACTGAACCCCACAATTCATTTAGCTAAGGAAGTTACAATCTTGATGAGCTAGTTACAAAATTCAATATAAGTCGTCACATCAGCAATGGGTTCGAGATCGACCTAAAGTACAGGTTCTAAATTAAGCAACTGACATATGTGGAGAGCTAGTGTCACAATTTATATGTTTGTCCTGCACACCGCTCACCATCCAGTGGGCAGCGGTGGATAGGTTCAACAAGCCACAACTTAGGACAGAAAACAGGAGATTTTTTTCAACCACGTGGGGCTTAACAATGCACAATTACCAAATCATCAACATTATCTTGGAGTCAGAATCCACCAATCACTGATAGTTGTACAACAAGTGGAAGCTGCAGTTATAAAAGCAAACCAAATCCTTTGGAATAGTCAAACGAAATTTTGACGAAGGAAAAGGTAGTTTATACAACTGTATAAATCTCTGGTGTGCTTCCGTTTGGATTATTATATCCACGCATTGAGACCTCATCTTCAGAAAAACATATCTGCTTTGGAGAAAGTTCAACACCGGGCGACTAAAATCTTTCCCGAACTAAGTCGACTTCCATACCAGGGCCTCTTCCGCTCTCAACAAAACTTTTAAATTACTGAACAATTTGGAAGATATTGACCCAGAACACTTCTTCAAAAAGCTAGATGTAAGACCAACAAGGAGCAACGGTTTCGAGCTCAACAAGCCACACTGAAGGATGGAAAATATTTGTTTTCACCCATAGAATTATAACGTTGTGGAAACGCATACCCCCCGAAGCCGTAAATGCCAAAACATTGCTCGATAAAATCACCAGGGCAAATAGGGTACATTTGACAAGCCGTCGGCTTCCTATCCTCACTGAGAGATAGTGACCCTCTGGTAAATTCAGGTAAATCTTAGCTAATTAAATAATCCTGAAAAGTTTGCATATTGAAGGCAGGGCTGTGTTAGCAGCATTATACTCTCTGAGCAAAGCAATGCACTGTTGCCCTCCAACCCAGATGATGGGCACTGGGGCCCGAAGCACGCACCCGGCTCTTCGTTAGCCCTTTGACCTGGGTTCGTATCCTGGCCGGGAAGGATTGACCGGGCGCCAATCCTTAACTGTTCACCCAGCAGTAAATAGGTTGTTAAACGATTTGGCGGGTCGTATTCCGGGGAAAAATTAGGATTAAGGACCTGCCCGAAACGCAATGCGTGATAGGGGCTTTACAAGAATTTAAAAACTGTTTTTTTTATATATAAATATAAAAATCCGCCGACGAATCTTCTTGTGTGCGATGAGACTTAACGGCCGGTTTCTCTTTTTTTTTTTTTTTTTTTGTGTGTGTGTGTGTGTGTGTGTGTGTGTGTGTGTGTGTGTGTGTGTGTGTGTGTGTGTGTGTGTGTGTGTGTGTGTGTGTGTGTGTGTGTGTGTGTGTGTGTGTGTGTGTGTGCGCAGAAATAATATGAATAAAACAATTAACATCGTGTAGTGTACTCTATATATCAAAATATATTACTTTGAAACCCGTATCAGTCACTCAATAAAAAATTGGGCTACTCTTATTACAAATTCGCTACTTTTTGATCGTCAGCTTGCTACTTTTAGCAATTTGGAACTGGCATCCCTGGGTCCCTAGGCAGGGGTGGGAGGCCAGTGTTGTTGTCAGGAGGCAGGAGGTAGGACGCTCTCTCACTCCTTCCTTCACCATGGAGACACCTGCTAGGTAATGCTTACAAATACTTAATATTTTCGAAGATTTGTGTGTGACACACAGGTTGACCTCAACAAAATTGACATATAATGTAGACTGGGAAAATGGGGGCAGTTTGGCGGCCTAGACACAGCTGACGACTTATAAGGAAGTGATACACGTATGATAAAAATATTGTGTACCAGTGTATTTTTGACAGTGTTGTGGATGCTGTAATATATGTGGGTTTTAAGTTCCATTACATTTTTGGGAATTATTTAAACTTCGGAGTGGTCAAGACAAATGTTATACATTACTGTACAGGGAAAGTGGTAAATGCTCTATGAATATAGAGTTGACTCAACTTGCTTAAATTCCTCTTTTTATCACTCTTTTTTTTCATCCTTGATGTTTAAAGTGATAACTACTATACTTTTAGCATCTCTACATTGATATTACTTTTGTCTCCATTCACTAATAGGTCTTCTCGATCATAAATAAAACTTTCAACTACTCTACATAATCCTCCATCATTGCTGTATAGTTTTTAATATACTGCATTTATTCATTCCATTTCTTACAGTACTCCTATTACAGGTACATACAGTAAATTACAGTAATACATTTACATATTTCTCTAATTTATTTCTTTGTCCTTTCTTACGACCTTATCTGTATATACAGTACATTGTAGTAATCTTATAATTATGCTAAGTTGTGGCTGTAAGTGTCCTTAATTTTTGCCATTAGTGTGTCAGGTTAACTTAGAATTTAAATAATTTTTTCTTCTGAAATTACTATTCTCTTCAGGAAATCTGACCATTGATTATACTGTACAGTACTTAATTTATTATTGTGTTGGTAGAAAATTGTCAACTTGTGTTTTTTACTATACCATATACTGAATAATTGATCATCTTTCCCAGAATTGCAACTGTAAGTTATGGTTTTCTAAAGAGAAGGATGATGAAAGATGCTCTAAGGAAAACTGTGACCTTTCAGCAGCTGAGAAGGTCCTATCACCCTCCACCACTGATATCAGCCGAGTTTAAGGTATCGTATACAATTTACATGTAGTGTTTATATAACTCTGAATTTACAATATTTTATATAATTTTCTTTTCAATCATCAATGCATGCAGTAAACATAAAACCTTCCATTTTAGCCTTGTTCTTAAAGTATCTAAGTAATGTCAACATTTTGTAATTTCTGAATTTTAGCCTTCAGAAATATAAATTACAGTATATACACTTCTCACCATCCATCCCCTTTTTTTTTTTTTTTTTTTTTTAAACATACCTGTTGTCATCCATGTCATTATTGTTTATAACAGGTGTATATATATATGGATAGATGTGAGGGACATTAATTATACATGCATCTTTCCGAGTTATGTGACTGTGTTGCTCCCGAAGACAAGAATTTCTTGGCCCAATGAGAGGCCTTTGCTCAGTTAGGGACATCAACACTCAGCTGTAGAACAGCAGGGATCTTTTTACTGTCACTGACTGGATAATATTCAATCAATGATGGAATAACTAATTTACTTGCAGAGAATAAGTCACAATAATATGGCTTAAAATAAATAATAAATAACCCAACTCACACTTGTAATTAAAGTGATGACATATTGGTCTGTTTTGGATCCTCATCAAGTCTTTACACGTGTCAAGACATAAGGGTCAAGGATGGAATGAAACTAGAGTGCCTCCCTAGCACTCATATGACCAGACAGGGACATTTAAAGAGATTCCTGTTGTGCTGATGTAGTGTCACTATGAACTGACAGTCATGATTCTAGCCAGTGTGAACTTCACTGATTTTTGCACCTTAAGAGCAAACTAATGTTTTGCTCAGAAAGGAGCTGTCACATTTTTTCTAAGCCTGATTTTTATTGGGTTAATTTCTGAATGAATGTCATAAGTTTCAATCAAATATTGTATTGTACTTATAACAAATGAATCTTATTGAGAATTGCTAAAAAACAATGCTGTACAGTACTGAACATTGCTTGCAGGGACGTGTTATCGATTTACGCTCGGATACAATAACAAAGCCCACATCAGGCATGAAGCAGGCAATGATGGATGCTTTACTTGGGGACGATGTCTATCGGGAAGATCCAACAGTATCAGGTATGATTACTGTTGTTCTTATAGTCCGTGTCTTTCCTGTCTGTTACCTATATATAAAAAAGATTGCAGAACAGTTGACTTATGGTTTTACATGGGAAAGTGTTCTTAGAAACTGTAGAAGTTCTAACAGAATATTTTTTTAAGAATCTTTGGAAGGTACACATTGAATTTCAAGACCAAGATATTTTTTTAAAGGGTAAATAATTTAGTGCAATACACAATTCAGTATATGTACTGTAATGCTTTCCTTGTGCTGCAAGTACAGAGCACATGTTTGTGTTATTTTTCTAGATGTAGTACTGATAATAGGCAGTGACTGATCCTCATGAGCGATGGCATTAGTAGCAGTGAAAGCAAATAATTTTTTATTATGATTCTTTGCAACCAAAAAGAGCATGTTATGTAGCTTTAATAATGTAAAGGGAAACAAAATTCTTCTTATACAAGCAAAATTGTTAATTTAGAAAAAATTTCCCGTAAGAAATAATTTATATATTAAATAATTTATATATGTTTCCATAAGGAATTTAACTTATAATAATTTAATATAAAACAAATTTTCTCATAAGAAATAATGTAAATTAATCCATTCCACACTCCCAAAAATATTAACTTCAAAATACATTTCATACATAATACTACAAATATTTTGTACTTCAGTGTGTACAAGTTATATCTTACCTTTATTGAGGACTTTTGTTGGCGTATGTAAGATGGTGAGGAGGGAGGGAGGGGGGAAGGGAGTGGTGGTGGTAATGTTTGGAAGGAGTCCTCTTCCATTATAACGTCAGGCAGTGATGACTTCCCTGGGGTACATTCTCTCCTACATTTTGCTTGCTTACCACTAGGACCTGGTTGTGGCTGACTGGTTGTTTTATTAACAATAAGCATTGTCCCACAGATTTTTGTAACTTTTAATGTTGCCCGTGCCTCACCCAAACATTGGGAACTGACTGCTGTATAAATCTAGCAGAAGAAATTATTTGTCTACCAATTTCATTCATGGTATATCTGATTACTCTCTTCAATAAGCTTATTTTATTCTTACAGAGCTGGAGAAACGTATGGCAGAGTATACTGGGAAGGATGCAGCTCTATTTGTACCATCAGGCACCATGGGGAACCTAATCTCTGGTAACTTCTATAAACCTTATTTCTAGTAAACAGAATACTTAATATAAAAGTCGTATAGCAGTTGTTATATATTAAAGTTAAACCAAGTGTAAAACTGTTAAGACAAGTTTTAAGGTTTGTTTAAAGAATGAGAGAGAAATACTGTATTGAAAAAGCTGTACTCCCTCTGTAACCCCTTGGAATGCATGATTCTCCTGGCTTTCATATGCCACTGTGCACACTTCTTAATATTGTATGTAAGTACAGTGCTGTATTTGGAAAAAAATGGTTTCAAATAAGTGTTTGTTCAGCTTTAGTGATATAGTTGAGCTTTAGCTTAAGAGAATCCTATTTGTCATATGATATAAACCGTTGTCTAAGAATTAAATTCTACTTTCTGTAATATGAGAGGTTGTATGCTCAGATATCCTGGAGGGGACTTTAGTGCAGTTTGTAAAGTTCCAATTCTGGCTAAAGGATAGGAGGCAGATTAAGAGTATACACTCATCTAGGAATGAGCCCTATGGTGCTGTTGGGCAACAAGATTTGCTCTTCTGATTTGAATCTTCTTATTTTGGAATTTTTCTAGTTATGCAGTAGACCTTACAACAAACCATTGCTTGCACTCTAGAGATATTCATTTCCAACCGAATACTGCCACTCAGTCTGAGAAGAGGTGGGAGGCTGACATTACAATCTAATCCTCATGTAAATGGGTTGTAGTACAGTTTAGCTCACTAAGTGGTTCAAGAACTTTTTATGTATTTAAATTTAAATTTATAGTTTAAATAATGGCATGAGGTGATGGCACCGGGTCAGTGGTTTAATGCAAAGTGTGGCCATGGAAAGATTTTGTATCCTTTGCCTATATTTATTGAACTTTAACACTAGATAAAATTCGAGCGAGATGACATTAAGATGACAATGCGTCACAATATGCCTGCAGATATGATGACCAAACCACACACTGGAAGATAAAGGAACGATGATGTTTCAGTCTGTCCTGGATCATTATCAAGTCATGTATCTCGCATGATAATGGTCCAGGATGGACCAAGACATCGTTGTTTCTTCCTCTTCTGATATGTGTGGTTTGGTCAACGTTAAGTAAAGGAATGCAATATTAACAGTACATTGATATTATCTACTGCTTACACAATTATACAGACAAGGCATAAAGAACAAAAGAACACCAATACATATACAGTATTATTATCTAGTTCCAACTTTCATGAGATGGGGGAAAAAGCAACCTGGAGAAAACAAAGGGAAATAATATAGTAAAAGATCATGAGTATTTAAAATATTCATTTTACTTTGAGCCAAAATATACAGTATAACATCTGATACACAAACACACACCACCCCACTTCAGAAGTTATCCACAGCTGCACCTACCTCTTTATAAGACCATGTTTATAATGATTCTCACCATGTCTGGCCATCTAGTCAGCCAGCCTTACCACTCTCAAATCTACCTGAATACAGTACTGTATATTCTCTCCTCCAGTCAACCCTCATACAAGCTCTACAATCTTGCTGTTTATCGACTTGTGTGCTTATGTCCCCCATACCATTTATATACCTTGCTCTCTTTTTCACCTAATACAATGCTTCTTGGATTTTCTGACTTTTACTCTCATTTTCATATTGTGCAATCATATACAAGTTGGAACCACCACTCCCTCTTGCAGCCCTCTAGCTCTAACTATTGCTATCCTGTGTCTATTCAGGACTTTTATTAAATTAGTAAATTTCATTCCCTGACTAATCATGTTAATTTTTTATCATACAAAGACCTTTATCGTATGCAAGGTAGTGAAACTAATTGACCACGTTTAGCACTGAATCCTGTTCTTTTCTTTCCACATAAAATTACATTTATCATAATTGACTTGAGAAGAGAGGAAGTTCAACTGTTATCTCCTGGTGGTTCTTTCCAGTAGTATGATCAATACTTTGTTATAATGGAAGTACAGTACTGTACTGTACTATACATTAGCAGAAGAATGTTGCAGCAGAAGGGTATTATCACAAATCGATTCGTTAGAACTGAATTTGCACTGTATTTTCTGTAATCACTGTAATCACCATATTTTTAAAGTGATTACAGTAGAGTTTTATGGAAATATCACTACTAGTTTGAATGCCCAAAGAACAAAGTCACAAATGAAAATATTTAATTTTCTATTATCCAAATTTTTCAGTATTGGGTCACTGTGAGCATCGGGGCTGTGAAGTCTTGCTGGGTGACAAAGCACACATTTTCCTCTATGAACAGGCTGGTATGTCTCAGGTCAGTTTGCCATGTTGATGTAGTGTTTATGTAGGACAAAATACTATGGTCATAATCAAATCTTTCATATATAGTACTATAACAGAATTTCTGATCTCTCAGATTTGAGTAGTTTTGACTACATAGCTATTGTGATGCATGTTATGGGAAGAGGACAGGGGGGGGGGCAACAGTATAATATAACTAGGCTTCCCTTAAAAGCAAGTGCTTTTAAGAGTAGCTTCTTTGATACATATTTAATAAGGAATATATTTTCTATACTTTTAGAAAGAGGGGTAAGAAACTTGATAGGGATTGCCGAACCTTAAATCTGAGACTTGTCGCATGCTGCATGTGTGTGATGGTATGCAAGGCTGACATACACATTTTATATGTTAATCTCATTCACTTCACTTTCAGCATACCTAACCTCTGACCTATCCACTTTTCATAAACAATTCAGAAAACTAAAACCATATTTAGTACTTTATATGTAAGGAAATATTGTATGTTACTGTAAAATACAGTACAGTATATAATTTTAACTGAATTTGATTTGCTATAAGCCTCTAATTACAGCGATGATTGTGTGTCCTCTGCTCAGCAGCTTGGTGGCATACAGCCTCACATTATTCCAACTCTACCAGATGGAACATTTGATGTTAATGAGATACAACTAAGATCACGAGTTGAAGATGTCCACTGCCCAAGAACTTCCCTTGTTTGCATTGAAGATACACAAAATGTATGTGGTGGGAAGGTTGTGCCCAGTCATTGGATTGATGAGGTAAATCTAAGTTTAGTGTACCTTTGTAATTGTTTGCCTAATATTGCTATTGGAGCAGCCCATCCTCCTACTGTTTCCCAATGTCAAGAAAGTAGTTAAATTAACGTGTTCTTTCCTAACCTAACAGAGAACCCAAAACAGAAAACGGGACAGTATGTCACTTTTGCGAGGTGCATTAATTTTCAAGTATGAGAATTTTTGGCCTTGTGTAATGCATACGATCGAAATGTGATATTCTTTTTAAGAGGACAGGTTGAATGGAGAGAGATGGCTCTGGGCTCTATCTCCATGACTGTGACTGGTGCACGTATCTCTCTCATTTTTGTGCTGTTTTACATGGTCTTTTAAGATGTGAATGTAGATATCCTCCAAAACCTCTGCATCCAGTTTACCATCCAGTTTCCTGCGTAACATCTACACATTGTATGTGTGGGCAATACATCTTTGCTTGTCTTTGACACTGTGTTTCCAGCTTCCGCCTGCAGTAAAAAAAAAAAAAAATTAGAGGGTTTTATGTGGACACTTTCTTGAATTTATAACTCTGGAGCTTGCAGAAAGCTACATACATTCTGTTAAAAGTACAATACTGCATTTGCTGTCTCTTCCCTAAAATATTTGACTTCAATTCATTTTATGAAAATCTTTTTAAAATATCTTCCTGTGTTAGTGAAACAGCTTTCATGTTATATTCATGAAGACATAGAAGATGCCTACTCATCTTTTCATCTTTCCAATGCTTTATTATGCTCTAATGCTCTTATTCAGTCTACATGCCAAAATCATGTGTACTCTTTCTCTTTCTGCTTATCCACTTTTCCACCACATAATTTTTTTTTTTTTTTTTACATTTTTGCTCATAATTCTGTCTGCTTTAGCACCACTTGTGATTATCAGGTTGTAAATGTTTTATCATTGAATGGTGTCATTGACCTCCTTTTGTTAAAGGTATTTGTAACAATCATTCACATGAACACTGATTTTCTCCATTGGTCATTCTCTTATTCCCTCTAGTTGTAAAATGAAGTTTCAAAAGTGGAGCCCTTTTTTAATGTAAGATGCCATATTTTATAATTTTCTGTAGAGTATCTTATAATATCTTACATGGTTTGAAGTTTCACTGCTAGTTTGCTAGCTATAATACTTGAAATTTCACCCAAAGCATTGTTTTGCATTAAGCAAATAATAGCATATAACTTAATTTTTTGTGAAATAATTCACATAGATAATTTGTATAAACACGCCTTGAAGTATACTGATAGCTGTATTATCCACAGTTTTTGTCCTAGACAGACCTTTGTACCTGAATATTTTTATTGCTAGTTAAGGTATACATTTAAAAATCCATATCCCACTTTTATGGGGTGGGGAGGCACTTAACCTTACACTAGAAGAAGGCTACAAAGATGGGTTCCCACCATAATCATTCACTGTATCTCGGGGAGAGTGAGAGTATTTGCTCCACCAAGTGTTGGGCACTGCACTTGTTGGATCCCAATGTTTATGAATTAATAATTCAGAAACAAGTGGCACTGTACATTTTATCTGCAGGTTGGAGGTATAGCAAAATCTCTGGGCATTCCCATACATATGGATGGAGCACGTTTGATGAATGCAGTAATTGCCAGTGGAGAGAGTGCAGCTCGTATCCTACAAAGTTGTGACACTGCTTCCATATGTTTTAGTAAGGGGCTTGGAACACCTGTTGGCTCTATCATTGTTGGTCCAGAAGAATTCATGTACAGGTCAGTAAACTTAGAAATAGTAAATATTTTTAGATATTTTTAATAAGGATACTTATTGTTTTCACTATTTTTTTCTATTTTATTGGTACCTGTTTGATATCTGGAGACCACTTTTGTATATTGACTAGTATTTCAACACACTTGTATAATGATAAAAGTGTCTTGTTATTGAGCCACATAAGCTCCCCAGGTGGCAGCTTATAGAACCAATTATTACACCATATAGGGGGTGGGCAGGTCGCTTTTAGCAACAGCCTTTACAGAGAAGTCATCACGAGAGACGCCTGACTTCAAGTTGGGCTTTAGAAAATTAAGATTTCTAGAGACAGGCTACATAACACCACTCATACCAACACCACTACATACCAGCATATGACCAAATAAAAACACGGCCACATGTTTGTCACCTTCCTTATCTTTTACTTCTTAACCCCTCATATATCTCTATCCTCAAGACAGTTAGCCTGTAGCCATTGCACCTGCCCCCTATTAACTCAACTGGTTTACCCACTGTAATCTGTGAACCCCCCTGGGAATAACTTTCTCCACTATTCTCGTACATACTATGTCTAACATTCATTGAAATTACCAGTGTGAGTTTACTTAATAATGAGGAGGGTCATCATTATTCAGGTTTGTTATTAATTTGAATTAACTGAGATGGGTTTGCTTAATACAGTACAATGTGTGAAGATGAAGACTGTCATATGGTCTTAGTCATAACAGAAGGTCAAGGACAGTCAACTTGTTTGAAACCACTGAAGTATTTATTATTTTTGTTCTTTTTTATACTGTAATAAAATTGCTAGGATAGGTTTTCTTAATTCTTTGCTATATATATAGTGGAAAAGACTTGTCCTGTGTATCTTCATGAGGTCAAATTTTCCCCATGCATATCTATCCAGATAAGCACTTTAATAATACATTTAAACACTAATTTCTTTGTGTATATATATATATATATATGTACAGTAATTTACAAAAATAATTAAAGGAAAGACTTTAGAGTTTTACTGAATTTGCTTGGGAAAGTTAACAAAATGGCAGGTTATCATGATTAGGGTCATCCATCAAATGGTAACTAGTAGGTAATAATGGGAATTGTTATGTACAATAATACTTTAGTGTTAATATTTAAAATTGGCTAGTAAGAGCATTCTCCTAATTGCCAAAAATTTTAATAAACTTGTAAAATACTACAGCACTCATCTGTCTATTTCTTTCCTAGGAGCTAATCTTGGGCCTTGATCATAATAAAGGCTCAAACCTTTAAGGCTTGGGGGGGATTGTGTGTTAAACTAGCTGTGGTTTACACATTAAATTATCATTAACATTGCCTAAAGGTGCAGATTTAACTTACCTTTTGCTGCCTTGAACAGGTTTATTTTAAGTTTTAACATGTCATGTTAGGCACACGAGTTCAAAATATGTTTCATCAGTTTTAATCACTTGCTCTGGCAGGTATCCAACTGTTCAGTGAATACTTCCAGCTTGTCAACGAACTTGACAGTAGTTTGTCAGCATTAACAGTCACACCAGTTATCGTAAAATGAAGAGGTTAGAGTTTCCTGAACTTATCAAACTGCAATTTATTGTCTTGAAATTATTTGGTAGTTTATGGGGCACCTACTTCTTGCTTAGTGTTTGGTAATCTTTGAGCTTTTGCATAGGTGAAACCCATGTAAATGGGTATGGCTCGTATTCTGGCCTTCTCCATTATTTAAATTAAGGTATTTCTCAATATTGACATTGTGTTCATTATTTTGTAACGTAGAGGTCGTCAGAATTGCTTTAATTTTCTCTGTCTTCTTCCTAATGGTCTTATGCTAGATTCATTCACATAAGCATGACTCAGTGCAGAATAGACTCTCTTGCCTCCAACTTCATCAGAATTTAATACTGTCCTTCTTTATTATATTGACCTTTGACTACTGTACTTTTAGGAAATTTCTTGTCTTTTGCTTTAAGGTGTTAGATCATTGAGAGGAACCATGGTGGAAGAGTGACACAAAGGTAAATCTGGTAAAATGCAACATTCTCATGAGGAGTTGCAAAAGAAAAAAATGTTGGAGTATGTACAACAAAGTCTGAAGGGGAATGCATAGCAAAAAACTGAGCGAGTTGTGCAGTACACCAACACAACAGCTCACTTTCTGCATCGAAGCAGTTTTTTTTTTAGCATGCCTGACAATTAACATGTGTTCTCAGAATTCTAATGATAATTTGAAGTTCCTTGTGTTAGCGAATCGGTGCAGTGCTTAGTTATGGCATCATTGCAAGGCTTGCCCAACGCATGCACAAAGCTGCTCATTCCAGGCAATAACTCAATCATGTAGGTTTTGTTCGTCACCATTTATATTTCTCTCACTTTGGTGTGAAATTTGTATTTGACCACTGCAACGGGTATTTCATTGCTATCAGTAATTGTTCAAATCTTTTCAGAGCTTTGCGCCTTCGCAAAGTATTGGGTGGTGGCATGAGGCAAGCTGGCATGTTGGCTGCAGCAGCATTATATGCTCTGGAAAATATGGTTGACCGCTTGGCAGATGATCACAAGCATGCCAAGCTCCTTGCTCAAGGTAAATTTTAATAGGAAAAAATTATTCTATATACCCCTTGTATCTGTATTCTTCAAGGGATGAACATATGATCAGATCATCACAAAATTCATAGTGAACGTTAGTCCTTGATGCCGTAATGGAATATGTGAACTAATACAGCTTAACTTGTGTGTTATGAAGAAAGTGTTGCTGTATATTAGCCTATTTATTGTGTGAGATGTGATGGCCCAGGGATGCCTGTTTTGGTCTTCCTAATGTGATTGAACCATATACTGATCCAGATGAAGATGTGTTGTTTAGTACATAAAATCCACCTGATCTGATTGATGACAAATTTAAATATCAACTGTCTGTTGGAAAATAATTTCTTTTGATAACACAAGCTTGTTTCAGCTGAAATGACCTCTTAAAGATTGAGTGAAGATGTGTGTTATATTGTGTACTGTCCAGAATACAAATACTGTACAGTTCTCTCAATCCATGAACAGCTATTGTATTGTTTCATTTCAATAAAATATTTCATTGGATATTATGAGTTATACAGTATTGACTTCTATTGACTCTGGCCTAGTGACATGTTGTAATTCCTGTATACAACATAGTTTCAGGTACTGTACTATATCCCTATGTATGCTTGTATTTAATGCTAAGTCTAATCCAATAAGATTTGCTTACACAGTAATTGGATTAAACATTTAAGCTTTGAAGCTCTTCACCCTTGTCTTATGAAGTGTTAATTTCAGCAATTTCCGAAACTGGAAGCAAGAACGTAACATGCCAAGTAGCTGACGTACATACTAATATAGCCATCGTGCATCTGTATCCTGGTGCTATAACTCCTGAACAATTCTGTAGCAGGCTATCAATGGTAGGAATAAATTTATTCTCAGTGTCTTAAAACAATTTAGTATAAAAATTAAATAATTTTAGTTTTAAGTATTAAAATCACATTAGTTAGTTTACCCTATACCTGTACTAGCCTTCATTTTTAATAATTATTGTAAACTTAAGCTTAATAGTTAAATCATTTAAACATAACAGAAGTGTCATATATTGCTCCAAATATTATGCATGTTTATTCTTGAACTAGTGTAAAATGTATTCATCCCATTTTCTTTTATAGGTTGGAGAAGACGAGAACAAAGTGGTGGGTGAAGAGGTGATAGTAAAAGTACTGCCATGGTCAGCAGACTCGGTTCGCTTTGTTACTCATCATGATGCAACCTTTACTGACATCGAAGTAGCAATTGCAAAGTTAAAGCATGTTATATATGAGATAGACTTGCAAGTGAAGTGAGAATGCTGGTGATATGAGATATATCGTGTTCCATATTTGAATTGTACTCGTTTTAAAATTAAATACTTGTTTAAAAAAAATTAAAAATTATTTTAAAAATGCTTTTATTTTAAGATGGTTAATAATTACAAATCTTAAAACAATTAACCCCTAGATTATGGCATTAATTTAAACTGTACCTCAACTTTGTTGCATAAAATGCAAATTAATTTGAATAGATTAGTTGAAATGGGGGAAAAATAATAATTATCCTTTCTATAGTTCGGTATGCAGTGCTTGTGAATTCATGCTCCGAAGCTGATTTTTTCCACAACTGTAGGCACGCATCGAATTGTGTGTACTGGATAATGTTACTCATTATTAGATAGGAATTATTACATGCAAGAATAAAGAAAATGTAAAGAAAATATATTCTCTGGTATTTGAAAATGCTCTAATATTTTCTAATGAAACAATAACTGGTTTACATGTTTTTTTTTTGCTTATGAAAGTTATCCATTAGCTCTGTATTTATACCAAAGAAACTTGAAAACATTTAAGTAGCTCATTTGAGCTTGAGCCATCTATTGAAGATAATGCTTCATATCCTAACTGCTGTATGGTGCACACCACACGGTGAACCATCTTACTGTATTACTATACCTGCAGATTGTACATTTCCATAAGTAAATACTTTATAATATTACATGTTCTGTAGTTCAAGGGTCAAAAATATTAGCTCCTGACAACGTGTTCACACACCTTTAGGAGAACATGAGTAAATAAGTGAATTTTCTGACAAAATCTTTGCAGTCATCGATTGCAAGATTAGGATGAGCTAACAATTTTTGAACAGACCTAAAAATTTGTTACTACTCTCTCTCAAAGAAGATTTTTTCCCCCCTAGCACGATTATATTGTGATGTGTGTGTTGATTTATACAGTTAACAGCATTCACACCCCTTTCCCATTCCCAAGAATTTAAAATGACAAAATTGGTATTCTCCAAGACTAGTGTTGTTACTGCTCTGCTTCTGGCATTGGTACTTACAGTATTACTTGTTCCTCACTTAAACTATTGCCTGTATAATTTTGTTTATTTTTCATTAAAAATAAAATAGGTAGATTTATAGTGAAAATAAATGTAAATATTCCTTCATTTTGGATGTAGCTAGCCCAGCCACCCATTATCATTACCTAATGTCTTGCATATGCGATGTGATTTTTTACAATGCTATTTATTTGAACATAAATAATATTTGTAATTATTCTCTGTACTTTATGATGATGAATGAGCTTCAATGTGTTGATAGATTTAGAATTTACTAAGAATGGTCTTTTAGGCATTAGTATTTAAAATGTAATTCATTTTTATTTCATATTAAAATATGCTCATAGTCTTGAAGGATTTGTTGAAATTAATTTTTTTTTTTAGTAGTTAGTAACTGTTATTTACAGAACTACTCATAGAACAAATTGTGTTATTAATTTTAGTGCAATTTGACAAAAGTTTCATTGGTCATATATTCCTAAATTATCAGTGTCCAACACTTGCTTCAAAGTAGCTTGCCAATTTCATTGACTTGCTCAATATTAATAAGTTATAGTAATGAAATATATGTTAATTAGGTCACACTTTAAATGAGTTTTCCACCTGTATCACACTTGCAGTAAGCATGATTTTTCGATCCCAGTAATCAACATTTGTTCTTTCTGACTATGTTAAAGTATAAAAAGTTGCCCAATTTCAAAATAAAAGATTTTTATAGCACTTTTATTTGTGTAGATGTGTGCAGAAGCTTAAGAGCAAAGGTGGCTCTTGCAAGGTGATGATAAAGTACGCAAAAGTCGTGCACCCCTACAACCACGCATGTAAGGAAAATAGAGCTGTAACTTGAATGTGATAGTTGGATAAGTTTGAGGACCCATGTATTTTTAGGTTTTGACTTGTAGAATTTAAGTTTTTCTGGGATCATGACTAAAATACACAGTACCAATTGATTTTTGTTTTTAAATTACTCGGCTGGTTTCCTTGATTGATGTTCCTTGCCACTGCTCAGTTTTATACATACTTTTTCTGCCTTGTGGATGAATATAAAATAAATATGGATGAATATAAATAAATAAAATAAAATAAAATATTTGTAACATTTGACAAATCACATAGTTCAAGGGTACCTTGATAAACTTCCATTTATTATTAATGACATTATTTCTTAGTAATGACGTCTATAAAGAACACAATATATGAGGGTCCTGGTAGTACAGTCGAGTTTGTTCTCGATCAAGAATTCTGGGTTTGAATCCCGGGTGGCACAGAAATGGTTTGGTATGTTTCCTTTCACCTTGTGCTCCTGTCTGCCCAGCAGTAAACTCCAGGTACCGAGAAGTTAGCTTCTTGTGGGGTTGCATACTGGGTGGGGTCAATAATTTGACCCTGTGGGGAGAGGACCTTGGTGTAAGCCTAACATTATACTGTAATTGTGGTTCTTATTGTTTTAGTTTTACTATAAATTTAACTATGTATTTAAAAATTTATAAATGTTTAATGACCATATATATTTTTTGCATATCCCTATATGTTGCAAAATATCAAATTAAATTTTGTATGAATGCTGCTGTATAATTTGATGACTAGTAATGTACATGTAATAAAAAGTTAAGCAATATATAAATTTCAATTTAGCTGTATCAGTATCCCATATAATAGTCTAATAAATGACAAATCTCATTTATAAATTAAATTAGCAGTTTAGATAAATTTGATGTGGATTAAGTAATTATGTAGTCAGTATTTTTTGCCACCTCATTCTCTTGGATTGTGCAGAAAGTGATGTGATGGCTTGATTTAAATTGTCTCTGCATATGTATGTTGGATAAATTCAACTTTCCTCTGAATTGAATCTGCTTGTAATTATATCTTTACTGCAAGAAGCTAAAGAGATGCTGTTTCCTCTTCATTGATGGTGGAATTGATTTAAAACGATATACAGTATGGTATCATGATGAGCCTTTTTTTTTCCCAATTTTTCTTTTCTCCACCTTTCTCCCCCCTTCACATTTTTTCTCATTTCCCCTTCTCTCTCTCAACTTTGCCTTTCTCTTCCCTTCTTCCCCTTTCTCCTAGCATCCCTTCACCCCCCTCCCCACACTTTCCCCCTCTCATACCCTTTACTTCCTTCTCTTTGCTTCCTCTCTATTACAAACTCCCAATATATATCTATCCCTCTCTCTCCCTCTCTCACTTCCACACTCGCTACTAGTTTGGTAATAAGGTTGTGGATGAGTGGAGTGGGCTGCGATGCAGCATTATTGAGAATGTAAATTTCAAGAATGGAGATGGGTGAGAGAGGGATAACTAGCCTAGTATGGGCAGCTAGTCTTGTTGAACTTGTCTCTTAACAAACTCGTGCTGGAGCTTTTGTTCACTTACGCACCATGGGGTGTAGTAGATCTAGTTTGTAAAAATCTAGTTCTGGAGATCTAGTTTATAAGAAGGCAGCAAATTTGATTAAATTTGGGTAGTAATAAACCAGGTTACAAAGACACAATGGTCTAAGGAACTGAACCCCAAAATTCATTTAGCTAAGCCAGTTGTACACTTGGCGATGCGACATAAAGCCTGTATATGTATGTACAGTATTATGATAACTCACCTAATGATATTAGGTGAGTACAGTATGTATTTATATGTGATTTTTGTGTTTTAGATTTAGCTACTCGGAACGAAATGTCCATGGAGCACAGGTTATGGTGAGCCCGTAATTGAGTTCTGTTATTCGAGATAACTTTGTTACTGTGATATTTGAGTCAAAGTTTTAAAAGGTGGGGTTGCCTCCTTTTTCCCTGTTTCTTTTTTGCTTCTGTTTTAGTGCACTGGTTTTAGTCTTGCTTTAAATATTATCATGGAGGCGGATGTAGGTGCAGACTGTCCATTAGTGAGTCCCATTCTTCAACGGCTTTTCTAATCATTGTAGTCGCTGTGGAATTTCCATCTAATGCAGCTACTGTCGTTGGATTAATGTTGAGTTTGATGTGCAGGGCTTCAATTGCTTCACATACCAGTAAGTAGTGCAATAGTGGTGCCTCTGCACCACTATTGCACTTGCACTAGTTCTACAGATATGACACTCTTTAACTATTGGGTTTATTACCTCCGAGCAGCACTTGTAACCAAGTCTGAGTCTGTGTATGGCTACTGCAATGTCTCTGGATATCTTTTTGTCAGGCTTGAAAGAATAGTACCCAGTGGCTTGTTCGTACCACAACGCAGTGGATGTTCCTTCCGCTACTTTTAGCTCTGTGGCGACTTTTGATAGTTGGGAGTATTTTCTTCTTGATTTGCTCCTTAATTTCTGAAAAACTTAGAGGTATTTGAACCTGTACAAGAGGTAGAGCAGTGGCAGTTTTTGCTAGTGAGTCTGCCTTTTCATTACCATCTATGCCAATGTGATTTGGTATCCAATTTAGGGTGATTGACAGCCCTATATTGTGGACTTCTTTTCCTATATGTTGGATTTATGTGATGAAGGAGGCTGCCGAAAGTGTTGATATGGTCTATCTTTCCCTTTGGTTTTAATAGTCCATTTCAAGTCCACTTTCTCTAAAATCTTGGCCAGATTATCCGTCCATGCTCTTGTTCTATATTGAAGGTATAAGTGAAGCGATCTGTGTATGCTATCTTTGATTGACAGTCTGGCGGTGGTTCCAAAAAGTTTTGCTGTTATGGTGGCTATCCTTTAATTGTTTGATCCTGTTTTCTAATGCTGGTAAGTTGGTTTCCATTCTTAGATTCTCCGACGCGTCCATATAGGTGCTCCCAGCATTGTTCTGAGGGCATCATTTTGAGACACTTCCAGTTTCTCGCATTGATTATCACTGAGGGATGTAAGAGCAGGAGCACCATAGTCAATGAGTGACCTAACTGCTTGAACATGTCTACATTATCATAAATATAGTAAAATGTACTATATATATGATAATGTAGACATTTTTATACGGTCACCGTGCACATGACCTACATAAAAGATATTTCACTTGGTTTTAGCGCCATTTCAAGGACCCATTGTTAAAGCAGAAAATCAATAGTTGTTAGGATCAATTTGTGTAATAAATAAAAAAAAGTGCTAATTTGAACATGTAGGTTCAAATTAGCCCATTATATTTAAATATAAGTGGTTATTGTTGAACGTGTGAAGAGTGGCGCATGTGATTACATATGACTTACAGTTCTCTGTTAAGATATAGCGTGTGTGGGGGGAGGGAAAACGGGAGCGTGCGCGCGTGGTTGCCGGCGTGAGGCCGGGGATGGCGGCGGCCGCGTCGGGAACAGTCTGGGCTCCCGCGTCCTCTCGGGCTCTCCTCCTGCCCTCCACCTCCACCCAGCGACTCTGCCAGCCATGCCGCGTGTCGGGGAACACCCTGAGTGCCGAGTGATCGTGTCAAGGTAGCTAGCGAGTGACCACACCAGGTGGAAGAGGTGTATGTGGTGTGTGAATGGTGGAGAGCAGCCTGCTGGTGGCTACACCAGCGTCTCTCCATCCACTCCTTATATTTACTTATTACTCTCAACCTACTCTCACAAACACCTACCTCACTCCACTGACATTTATACCAACATCTTTACGCCTCATTACCGTACACGAGTTGGAAATGTTACGACAACAATCCAGTTATTTGGTTATTTCTTTGCAGATATTTAATTTGAGGTTTGGTGACTTAACAGGAATATATTATATTCAGAATTCAAGTTTTCTAGTATCTTAATGTGCAACATTTATATACGTTTATAAACGCATGGAAGCTTTTAAAGGTGATTAAGGTGGAATGTTTTAAATGTTAAGATTGTATAAGTTATTAAGTAATGGAATGATCAAATCATTACGCAAAAAATATAATTGATTATTTATATATAATAAACATTATTAGGAAAGGTGCAGGAAAAGGATCTGGTCGCGGGCGTCCGGTTTGATAAGGTGGCGGCCAGCTGTGGTGCAGCTGGTCCCCCCCCCCCCCCAGGCCGTCAATACCTCGATCTTTGGTTACCGTAAATTGTCTTGTGCTGACTACCACTACACCTCACAAGTTACTCCTGCCAGGAGCGTCTTTGTTACCACAGTGAGGGTTATGATTCAAGATAGCAGGAGGGTGTCGGAAGCAGGTGTGTGTGTGTGTGTGTGTGTGTGTGTGTGTGTGTGTGTGTGTGTGTGTGTGTGTGTGTGTGTGTGTATGTGTGTGTATTTACTATCTGTGCTTGCAGAGGGTCGAGCTGTTAGCTCTTGGACCCCGCCTTTCTAACTGTCGGTTGTCTAATGTACTCACTCCCGTCCTAGATCTCTTCTATCATATCTACTACATACTTCTCTCTCACACCCCCAGGGTGCAGCCCGTAGCAGCTGTCTAACGCCTGGGTACCTATTTACTGCTAGGTGAACACAAACATCAGGTGAAGGAAACTGCAAATTTGTTTCTGCCTCGATTGGGAATCGAACCCGGGTCCTTAGGACTACGACCCCAGAGCACTGTAATTACCCAAGTGTAGTTACAGGATGAGAGCTACGCTCGAGGTGTCCCGTCTTCCCAGCATTCTTTGTCATACAGTATAACGCTTTGAAACTACTGACGGTTTTGGCCTCCACCACCTTTTTTTCACTTGTTCCCACTGTCTACTAGTCTGTTTGCAAAAGATTTTTTTTTTTAATATTTTTTGGCACCTTTGTTTCCATATCCAGTGTCTTTTTGTTCTTGAAGTTGCTGGTCTCAGGAATTCCTCTCTTTGTACGTGTGTATTCACATGTGTGTGTGTTGGGGGGGGGGAAGGATGGGGGAGTTAGCAAGAGGAGCTGTGTGACACTACCCATCCTCTCAGCACTGTAGCTTCATACAATCTTCTGTGTGGTTTAGGGAGAGGAAGGTTAGGTTTCAGAAGGTGAAGTGGTGCGTGTATATATAGTGGATGGTGGTACGCGTTATTAACGCCTCAGATACCACAGGGCAGCAGC